TTGAATTAAGGATAGACAACGAGATGAGATTTTTCTTCAAATATGGAACATGTCGAACCTAGCTAAATGTTTTAATTGTCCCATCCAAAATCTTCAATCCGATTGTACCAATTTCAGCAACCCGACAAGATACGTTGTTTTCCATAACTATGAACATTTGAAAACAGTTTCATATGTAGCAAACAAGTCCTTATTATGACAAATATGAAACATACTACGACACATATGAAACACACATGCAGAATCAAGAATCCAATCATATTCTGGTTTAAACTTAATGTCAAAAATAATTAAGAGGTCTCCATCACTTACAACGTTATCCGCAATGTCTACTTCGTCTAAAGTATCTGAATATCTACTTGCAACCATCATTTCTTTATTCTGCAATTCGTAGCAATCCTACTTTGAGTGCCCTTTCTTCTTGCAGTAGTTATAAATTTGATTACTGAACTTAAATTTCGATTTGCCCCTTCCAGAACCATCATGAGCAACCTGACCTTCTCTATCTCTAGCTTCAGAAGCCAGATGCTTCATCTTCTCTTTTGAATATGAAGTATCATACACTTCCTCTATGATGAAAGTATCACGACTATACATGATCGTATCTCTAAATGAAGAAAACGAAGTGGACAATGAACACAATAGGATTAAGACCAAATCTTTTTCATCATACTCTACTTCCAAAGTTTCCAAATCAGCCACAATTTCCTTAAATATAGCCAGGTAATCTTCCAATGATCTTTATTCTACCATTCGATGAGAATATAAACGCTGCTTGAGGTTCAACTTGCTTGTCAGACTTTAGTCATGCACAATTGTTCCAACCTCAACTATAAAGTAGCTGCTAAATTCTCCTTCAAAACGTCCTAAAAAATAATATTTGATAGATGAAGATGAATGTAAAAAACCATATTCTTATCCTTCCGTAATTTCTCCTACGCGGTCAAAGTTGCGGGCATCCTGTCAATTCCCAGCAACACATCATCTAAATCCAGCTGTGCGAGTACTGCACGCATCTTAACCTGCCATAGTGAAAATCTAGTGCTCCGATCCAAAAGCGGGATGTCATACTTCATGGAAACTATCACGAAACAAACAACTGGATTAAGATATTAAAGTTATATGTTAAATAATAATAAAATATATGATCAAACAAAAGAATAATAAAGACAAAAATATGATAGAGGAATTAAGAAATTTTATTGACTCAAGAATAATGAAGAATAGAGAAAAATTACAATAAATCCTATAATTCTAATAATCTATTTTCTCACATCATAAAATTATATAGAATAACCTGGTATTTTTAGGGAACTTGTAGGAGATGTCCAAACCCTCCTAATAGAGTTGTTGATGAAGTAGGATACCAAAAAATTGATCCCAAAACAAATTACAAGTCCGAATGAGCTTCCAAAATAAAACTTCATCTTTATATAGGATTTCAATAGCATTCCAAATTGAATTCTTCTTGATGTGCACATCAATTATAATTCTTCAATTACTTTAACAAGAAATTCAAGTCACATTCAA